AAGGAATGGGAACGCAGCTATGTGGCGAAGATTTTGCATCTAAAACCCAGAAAAGCACTCGAAAGATTAAAGCCGGCAGTTGGTGGGACTGTTTCATTTTGTATTACAAGCGGCGTTCTTGGAAAACAAGCAATTTATTCACAGGGAAGCCTGAAATTTTCTTTCAAGTTAATATAATAAAAATCAAATGGAATTTCTTTTTGTGTAAAAAAATAACTGTATCCGGAATCAAAACGCTGAATAAGCTATAGCTGTGAGTGCTGTCTTTGATGAAAGAAAAGATTTACATGCAGCAACAACATTTTCTTTTTTGTTTTTTTCTTCACTGGGAATTAAATCAGTCAATTAGTCATCTTTTGAAGTAGTTCATTCCAGCATCCAAACCAATTCACTTAAATTAATTGCAAGATAAACAATACATCAAATAACTATTGTGAAAATAAAAAGTGTTTTTTTTTTTACATTTCTTTTATTGTTTTACAGTTTTTCTCAGTTGCTTTGGTGCATTTCTCACAACACTAGTGCATTTCTGCACAACAGTTAATGCATTTCTCAAAGCAATTAGTACAAACTACAAAATCTAGTTGATAACCTGCAAAAGTGCGTCACTTGCTCAAAATGGATAGTTCATTCCTCAAAAGCAAGTATTCATGTCAATCTAAGTGTCAGTGTCATCAAAATGAAAGTCCTGACACCATTGTTTATGAACAAGATAGTCAAATGGCTTAGTCATGTTTTCATTATGAGTTTACGCTGCACATTTTTTCAATGCAAAAAAATTCAGATTTTAATGACACTTCCTGAAAATGCTCAAGACAGCACTATATACTATTTGCCTAGCCATTTACTGTAAAAACTACTGTAAAATTAGACATCTCTGCATTTAGTGAGGTATCTGAGTACAAGACACTGAATATGTATGTTTCACATTTTTACTGCATTTGCTCTTTACAATTCTAATTTATTCACAGCATTGTGCAAAAGAATAAACACACCCTTATTTACAACAAACATAAACTCCCTTTGGGTAGAGCTGTGCACAGCTGTATACAATATTGCAGTACATATTGGACCTGAACCTACAACACACACAGGTCTGTAAATCATTCATCAAATTGTTCAATTTTTAAGACATTTTCAGGAAAAAAAAAAAAAAATTGAAATAAAATTTGCTCAACAGATTTTGACAACTAGTTTAACATTTTTGTATGTAATGACTCAAATAATGAAATGAGGACTAATAGTTTTATATGGAATGACTATTCAGCTTTGACAAGTTTAGTTAATTTTGACTGACATGACATAAGCAAATGATAATGTTATAAACAGCAGAGAGTTGAATAAAAAGCAATTGAAGCATGTCCGAAAGTATTTGCAATTTGTTGAAAGGAATGAGAAACTGCTACTAGGATGTGCACAAATGACTAATTGTTTTGAGAAATGCATGAACTGTTGTGCAAATGTAAATAGTGTTGTGAGAAATGCAGCAAAGCGACTGAGAAAAACTGTAAATGTTCATCTGTTCTTGTGAATAATTAATAATTTTTTTAAATCCAAAAAAGTGTGTTAAGGGATGCCACTTCTGCCCCTTCTAACTAAGTGGAAACTTTTTTACACCACATTTAGGTGATTTATATGCTATCAGATCAGATCACAAATTAGCTCAATTACTTATTTAGCAACTGAAATGAAAAACCCATTTCACAGTCAGTCTTCAGCCCCTCTACAGTTATTGCCATCTCTCCAAATCCGTTCAGATACAGTGGCTGCGTCCGAAACCGCATACTTCCATACACTTAAGTACGCTAAAATCAGTATGCAAGCTGAGTAGTATGTCCGAATTCATAGAATTCGAAAATCAGTGCGCGGGATGACCCGGATGACCTACTACTTCCGGCGAGATTCTGAAGTGCGCATACCATGCACGCTACGCTATCCCATGATGCCTCACGAGAGAATTCATGAATGGGAGTGAATTGACGCAACTGACGCAAATGAACATGACAAAATGACAGATGTAGTACACCCGAATTCCAATCACTTTTTACATTCATACGGTAAAGAATGTACTTCTAACAGTATAGAAGTGTAGTATGCTTAAATTCAAATGCAGTACCTACTAAGAAGTAGGCGGTTTCGGACGCAGCCAGTATTTCGTCACCTTAGAATTTTAAGGTTCTATCTGACATTCTTGTCAAAAATGTGTTATTGACATATTCTTATTAAATGACAACTTGTTTAAATTATTGACTTTTTTTATAAATTAAAATTAAAATAATTAAAATTGCAACATTTTAACCACACTGTACTACTTTCAAGTAGTTACAAAGTACTTTCAAGTACTTACAAAGGGTACTTAGCACAACCAAAGGGTACTAAAAGGTGAAGCTGGGGATGCAGCTGTACGCTTTTGGTCTACAGAGATATGTCACCCAGCTCGTGGACAAGCAAGGAGAATGAAAACAAAGCAACCGCCATTTTTAAATCCAATACTTTGTTTTATTTATTTTTATTTTATTTTTTTTCATAAAATATACGCTTTTTTTCTTCCCGAAGTTCGTCAGTGAGACATTCCTAATTTGAAAACAATCATTTTTCATTGTCAGTATTTATAAATACCGTTAAATTGAGGTCCTGACTCTCTGTGGTCATTAAAAATCCTGGCTAAAGTTCCTCCATCGGCCCTTACGATCATGGCCTTCCAATCATCCCCATCCATCAAACTGGCTCTATCACTGTCTCTCCACTCCACTATTAGCTAGTGTGTGGAAACGCACTGGTGCCAAGTGGATGCTGCACACTGGTGGTTGTGTAAATAGACCCCCTTCGTGATTGCGAAGCGCTTTGGGTGTTTGGCCATACACAATAAATGCGCTAGATAAATACACATTACATTTCACAAATAACAAGCAAATAAGGGCCCAAAAGCATTATGTACTGTGCAGATCATTCAAATGCATTCTTTTAAAAGCATGCTGAATTGTCCTACTCTTTCTCAATGGCTCTGCAAGCACACCACTGACAATGTGAACGTAAAATAATCACACTCAGTTGTAAGCGTGAAATCATTAAGTTTGCGTGGGCTCACAACATGATGATTTTACAGTGAAAGCTACCTATTAACCTCATTCAAAACTTTTTTTTTCTTAACAAAGCGAGCCTCCTCAAAGTTTGTGTAACGCATCACTGACAACACTTCATATTTCAGCAGGGAAAATAGCAGCTCGCAGTCAGACGGGTTGTCATAAGATGTCATCCACTGTTGCAACTCTCAAGTTAACAGCCAGGCCCATTGGAGAGCGTGTCGCCTTCTCCCCCCAGCCCTGAGCATGCGGCGTGTGGCGTGTGTATTGTGTTAGTGATGTTTTAATGACTTTAGATGAAGTGGGTGGTGAGGGGAAGATTGCCACTTGCAGTAGATTTCAGCAGATGATTGCTCTTCAGCGGCGGGAGGCTGACACTAGTGCCCTGGAGTTTCAGCCATCAGCCTTGAGGACGACTCGCTCCCTGCTCTCGACCTATTTCTGTCCTCCATTTCCCTCTCTGGGTTAATGTCCCCCTTCATTTCCATGTCCATCCGCTGTTTGAAGGCAGGTCCCTGGTGCTCCTTCTGCATTTTATGGTTAAATTGGTGCTTCAATGCAACTTTGTTGCTTATGCATTAGAGGTTTTGGTGCACACGTTGGTTTCAATTGACCATGAAGGACAGGTTGTCAGTTGCAAAATGCAAATAGTCAAAAATAAATAAATATATAGTGATTAAAATAAAATAAAATAAAATAAAATAAAATAAAATAAAATAAAATAAAATAAAATAAAATAAAATAAAATTAAATTAAATTAAATTAAATTAAATTAAATTAAATTAAATTAAATTAATGAAACGAAATAAAATAAAATAAATTATTAAAATATAACAAATTAAATAATGATATGAAATCATTTGATATCAAATTAAGTAAAATAAAATGTACCTTTGCCACAATCACCAGTGATCTCGTTTATACAGATTGCTGGAGAACTACAAAATCTGCCTCCAAAAGAAATGCAAATCCCATCTTACCTGGTCACAGACACCAGATGCAATTCACCCATTGATTGTGCACACACAGATGGAAGCCAATCACGGACTAATTCGAGGACTATTTATACAGCTCACACATACATCAGGGCTGAGTCTTGTTTCCGGTAGCATTTCTAAGTATGTAATCCAGTGTAGTCTTTCTATGGATCCTCAACTCCATTGTCCAGCGTACTTTAGTTACAATCATATTTTTGCCATAATTTAATCTGATAATATAAAGTTAGTTTGTTTATTAAAAAATAAAAATAAATATAATGTTTGAGTCATTTAAAAAGGATAATAAAATAAAATAATGATATTAAATCACGGTAAATTAATATGTGCCATAAAATAAAATGCTTTAATGCTATAATTCAGTCCAATAATGAAAAACCCCTGAGAAAATTGTTTATCTTTAAAACACAAACTAATATATTTTTTGATAAAATCTAGGAGCTCTCTAACCCTCCAATCTCCATCTCCAATAGTAGCGAGATGTCAAAAGTCCAAAAAGCTATCAAAAACATAGTTAAAATTAAATGTATTTTCAGTATGGTCAGAATGTTTTGAAGCTATGATCATCATCTTTCTAAAACCTTTTTTTATTCTTGCTTTTTTTGTGTGCACAAAAGTGTCCTTGTAGCCTCATAACATTCCGATTGAATTATTAAAGTTTTTTTTTTTTTTTTTTTTACTATTTTTGGTACCTTTCTGGACCTTGAATGTGTCTGGACTGTTACTGTCTATGGAAGATAAGAGAGTTCCTGAATTTCATCTTAAAATATGTTAATTTGTGTTCTGAAGATGATTGAAGGTCTAAAGGGATTGGAATAATACGAAGGAAAGTCATTAATTTTTTGGGGTGGACTAACCCTTTAAAGTTGATCTCCTCAGGCTGTATATGTCATTTTAAAATGCTTCTGGTCTTTACCTACAGGTACTTCAGCACCATCATGCAGTTCATGAGATTTCCTACATCGCGAAGGATATCACGGACCACAGAGCCTTTGGATATGTATGCGGGAAAGAGGGAAACCATCGGTTTGTGGCCATCAAAACGGCTCAGTCTGTAAGTACTCAGGCCTGAGAATTGCGAGTGTCATAAACCAGACTTTGTATATGTGTTGTCTGTTTTAAACTTGGTTTAGTTAGATAAACATTTTAATTCAACCTGCTCATTCAGACAGAACCTTGCTGCCACTGATCTTTTGGTTGTAGATTAACATTTAAAATAATTACTTACTTCATTTTCAATTCATTTTCTTCTTTAAAAACATCAATTGCTAAATGTGATATATGCAGTTGTAATTGTTGTGTTATTAAAATTGTATGTAAATTTAAGAATTTTATTTAATAACATTAAATTACATTGAATGTGGAATTTAATCATTCCACATTTTAATGAAATGTGATTAAATGTAAATATATAATGTATATACAATATAAAAGTGTCACTAGTCAACAAA